GATGAGGATGCTGGTGGTGGTGTTGATGAGGCTGATGATGACGATGATGATACTGATTATGCTGGTGCTGATGATGATGCTGCTGGTGGTGATGATGATGCTGCTTCTGATGATCTCAGGATGATGATGATGATGATGATGATGATGATGATGATGATGATGATGATGATGATGATGATGATGGCGACGACGATGATGCTGCTGCTGCTGATGATGCTGCTGCTGCTGATGATGATGATGACGCTGTTGCTGCGTCTGATAATGATATGAGGGTTATGGTGATGATTGTGGTGATGATGAGGATGACTGTAATAGTGATGATGATGACGTCGATTTTGATGCTGAGGATGTTGGTGATGGTGATGGTGATGGTGATGGTGATGGTGATGATCATGATGATGATGATGATGATGATGATGATGATGATGCAGATGATGATGATGATGATGATGATGATGATGATGATGATGATGATGCTGATGCTGCTGATGATGATGATGATGACGATGATGATGATGATGATGATGCTGATGATGTTGATGATGGTGATGGTGGTGGTGGTTGTGATGATGGCGACGATGATGATGATGATGCTGATGATGATGATGATGATGATGATGATGATGACGATGATTATGATCGTGACGATCGCTGACGCTGCTGATGATTCGGCGTTTTTGTTGATGGACGCATCTGATTATCATGTTGATGATGATGATGATACGCGGAGGATGGTGACGACGATGATTCAACTTCGAGGGCAATGAGAGTGAGGAGGAACGGGAGGATGACAAGGGGGACGAGGAGGGGACGGTCGACGAGAGGAGGATGAGGAGGAGGAGGAGCAGGAGGAGGAGGAGGGGAGAAGGGGAGGGTGAGGGAGGAGGGGGAGGAGGAGGATGAGGGGGATGTCGACGACATCGACGAGGAGCAGGTGGAGTTCCTTGCCGTTGCTTCTGGCGCCCAGGCCCCGTTCGACCCGGGCCCATCCTTCGAGCTGCTCGTGGAGCTGCGGGAGGCGTTCAGCAGCCTCAAGACCCTCTTCAAGGACCCCGTGTCCTCGAGAGGTCGAGGACGACGACGAGGACGGCGAGGTCCTCGTCGTCGTCGTCGTCGTCGTCGTCTTCTCCTTCTCCTCCTCCACCTCCTCCTCCTCCTCCGCCTCGTCCCCTTTTCCCCTCATCCTTCCGCCCCTACTGCCCCCTCTCTCGCCTCCCCTGCCTCCTCCCCTTAGTTTTCGCTGGTTTTGGGAAGTCTTCTCGCCCTGGGATGTGTTCCAGAAGCTGCGGCTCGCCGAGAGGCGTTCGGGGGTCCCGAGCCGAACGGCCGCTCAAGGCCCGAGCTTTGACTCGAAAGCCGACCAGCCCCAACCCCCTCGCGTCGTGAAAAAGTCGCGACAGGAGGCTTTGGGTCTCTTCGGCGGCGAGCCCGGGCTGGAAGTGAAACGGGGCGGGCCTTCTCAGAAGGTTCGGAAGTCCCCCCGCCTTCTGAGAAGTTCTCGGAGCCTTCCCCGAAGACACCGAAAACTTCTCAGAAGGCCGGAGGGCTTCTGAGAAGCCCCGCCGCCTGCTGACAAGGCCCTCTCACTTGCCCCCCTCCCTCGCCGCCGATCTCTGGGGGCCCTCACCCTGGGCTCCCGGGCTTGTCAACCAAATAAGAGTTCGTGCGCGCTGACGAGCTGTTTGCCTTGGGTATGGGGGCCGAGACCTCTGGGGGGCCCGTGCCGAGAGGCGTCACCGCGGCGTCCAAGGCTTCGGGGGGAGGAGGAGGAGGAGGAGGAGGAGGAGGAGGAGGAGGAGGAGGAGGAGGAGGAGGAGGAGGAGGAGGAGGAGGAGAGGAGCAGGAGGAGGAGCAGGAGGAGGAGAGAGAGGAGGAGGAGGAGGAGGAGGAGGAGGAGGAGGAGGAGGAGTATTACGCGTTCTCTTACGATACAGTCGAAATCGATGACCGGGATGGGTCACTTTCCTGAGGGTACCTTTGCATCCTTCCGTACCTGTTCGGTCCATCCTCGACGACCTTCTTCGATGGCCGCCCCCGCTCGAGAAGCTTCGACGTGGGCGTCCAAGGGGCTTGCATCATGCGTCCACGACTCTAACATCCTGCACTGTTTAGACGAATGGAGGGCATTTTCTTTTTCAAAATGAGGTTATCTTTTGGCCTCCTCGAAGGGTTCTCGCGTGGGACATCCGAGGAGCATACGCCCACGACTGTGACACCGAGCAACGCTTAGACGGTTGGAGGGCATGTGCTTCCCAAAATGGGGCAACCAACAGGTGCCCTCGTTACATTTGCGGATCGACTGGCCAGTTGTCAGTCAAGGGGGGCCGCACGCAACGGAACGGAATATTTTTACGGACTTATGAGTGAGGGAGTTGAGACGGGAGGGTGTGTTGCTCGGGTTTAATTTTGTCTTTTCGATATTCTTCCTCGTGCTCGTCCTCCTCGTCGTCGTCGTCGTCGTCCTCGTCCTCCTCCTCCTCCTCCTCCTCCTCCCCACTTTTCCGTCTTGAGTTTTCCGCCCACCATCATACGTTTTTCGCAGTCTCTTTCTTCTCTAATCCTCCTCCTCCTCCTCCGTCTCATATTCCTCATCCTCCCCCGCCCCCTCCCCCCTGCTCCTCCTCGTCCTCCCCTTCCCTTCTCCTCCTCCTCCTCCTGACCCGCTCCGAGGGCCGCGAACGGCAATTTGCTTTGAGTTTGTGAGGGAAGCGCTCGCCCCGCTGTGGCGAGCGGGTGGTGGCCGCGACCGTTCTTTCATGTGCCTCTCGGGAGTTACTTGCTGCAAAGGTCGGCTTTGATACCACCTCTCCCCTTGGACTCCCTCCCAACACAGTTCAGGGGTGCGGGATCGACCTCGTCCGCTGGTTTGCCGTATTTTGATTTTCCTCCCGCGCTGAGGCGGAACGACGTGGGCAGCGGGTCCTGGACGGGAGGAAAAGTGAAGCCGCCGCACCCGAACTCGGAGAGCTCGGTGAGGATTAAATTGATGTTTTTTTGATGCTCGAGCGAATGCGATTGCTTTCCCAGTGGGTGTGGTGCTCCTGTCCCTCCTCCTTTTTCCTCTCATCCGCCTTCTCCCGTCGCTCTCTTCTTCTTCTTGTTCCTCCTCCTAGTTTTCTGCCCTCATCTTCTTTCTCTTTCTCGTTCTGTCTCTCTTGCTCCTCCTCCTCCTCCTCCCCTCCTCCTCCTCCGCCTCCTCCTCCTCCTTCTCCTCCTCTTCCTCCCCCCTTCCCCCCTTCTCCGTCTCTTGTCTTTCGCCCACCGTCCTAGGTTTTCCACATCCTCTTTCTTCTTCCCTGATCCTCCTCCTCCGCCTCACATTCCTCTTTCTCCCCTGCCTCCTCCGCCTCCTCCGTCTCCTCCTCCTCGTCCTCCCCTGCCCTTCTCCTCTGTATTCAGTACCCTCCCTCTTCTCTCCCTTCCCTTCCCCCCCGCCCTCCCCGCACTCCCTCGGCGGCGGCGGCCCCCCCATCTGCCGCCCCGCCCCGCCCTCGGCCCGCTTCAGGACGCTCTGGCGGCCGAGAAGCAGCGCGTCATCGAGGTACCGCGCACGGCAGTTCTCCCTCCTCGTTCTTTAGTTATTCGTCCTCCCTCCCTTGCCGCTGCTGCTTCTGCTGCTGCTCCTCAAGCCCCCTCTTGGCCCCCTGGGCTCTCTCCCGCCTCCCCTCCTCCCCTCGTCCTCCCCCGCTCTTCCCCCCTTCCCTCCCTCCCCCCCATCCCTCCCCTCCTCCTCCACTCCTCCCCCTCCTCTTGCCCCTCCTCTTCCCCTTGCCCCCCCCTCTTGTCCTTCCCCTCCCCCCCTCTCGCCGCCGCTGCGAGCGGGACAGGCGCGCCCCCTGCCACGGCGACGGGCTGACGCCCTTCGCCCCTGACGCGTGGGGGGGGGCGGATCGGCGTTCGAGCCCGCCACTGGCTGCTCGCGCAGGTGCGCTTCCTGTCCCAGGGCAACCAGCCGCGAGGTCCGGACGCGGGCGTGCAAAGTCCCGACCTGAGGCCCGCAGGCCGCCACGGCGCGCCACATGCGCCAGGCGGCCGGCCCACGCCAGCCGGCGCGCCGGGCGCCAGGCGGACCGCGGCTGCCGCGGCAGCGGCCGGTGGGCGCGAGCGATGCACCGCCGCGGGTCGCTGCCCGGGGAGCTCGCGGCCGCCGGGGCGGCCACGCGGCGGAGGGGGCGGCCAGCTACGGGCGCTGTCCACCACTGGCGCAGCAGCGGGCCCGGGGCGCTGGATGGCGGCGGGCCCACGTGGTGCCGCTAGGCCATCCTCGCGCTTGCCATGGAGGTCCTGGGTAGTGTTGGCTAGAGGCTAGAGGCGGCCCTGGCTGGCCCCCCCTCTCCTTCCGCCGGAGTGGTCGTTGCTCGGTATCGGGGCTCAGCAACTGCTGCTGCCAGGGCTCGGCGCTGAGCACGGAAGGTTTGCGCCGGCCTCCGGTCACGCTTTGCAGGGGCGGACTTCCTCCATCCCTCCTGCTCCTCCTCCTCCTTCTCCATTCCTCCTCCTTCTCCTCCTGTTTCTCGTCCTTTCCTCCTCATCCTTTCCGCCTCCGCCTCCGCCTCTTGGTCTTTGTCGTCGTCGTCCTCCTCCTCCTCCTTTTCCTCCACCTCCTCCTCCTCCTCCTCCTCCTCCTCCTCCTCCTCCTCCTCCTCCTCCCCCTCTTTCCAACCTTTTTACACTTCTCGTCGTTTTCTTTTCTCCCCCCCTTCTGCGAGCACCTGTGGCCGCGTCCGTAACACCGCAGTCAGGCTGGCGGGCTCTACGTGCTCGGCACGACGCGCCACGAGTCCAGGAGGGGCAGGGTCGGGGCGCGGGGGGGCGGGATGACAGAGGAATGATTCTGTTATTTAATCGCTTCGCTCATTCCGCCGCCCCCCTGGGGATCGCCCGGGGCGGGGGGGGGAGGGATGACAGAGGAATGATTCTGTGATTGCCTTTCTCGTTCGCTTCAGGCTTTCGGGCCTCTGCGGGCCCCTGAATGACGACGACGACGACGAGCACGACGACGACGACGGACGACGACGACGACCACGACGACGACGACGATGGCGGCGGCGACGGCGACGACGACGGCGACGAGGACGACGATGACGGCGACCACGACGACGACGACGAGCACGACGACGAAGACGACGACGACGAAGACGACGACGGCGGCGACGTCGACGATGATCACGACGACGACGACGGCGACGACGACGACCACGTGGACGACGACGGCGACGGCGGCGACGACAGCGACGACGACGACGACCGACGTTGACGACGATTACGGCAACGACAAGCACGAGGACGACGACGGCGACGACGACGACAACGACGACGACGGCGACGACGGTGACGACGACGATGACGACGACGACGACGGCGACCCCGACGACGACGGTAATGACGGCGACGGCGACGGCGACGGCGACGGCGACAGCGACGACGACGACAATGACGGCGGAGACGACGACGACGGCGACAACGACGGCGATGGCGACCCCAGCGACGATGATGAGGCTGACGACGACGACGACCACGACGATAACGAAGACGAAGACGGCGACGACGACGACGACGGCGACGTCGACGACGGCGTCGACGACGGCGTCGGCGACAGCGATGACGACGGCGACAGCGGTGACGACGTCGACGACGACGGCGGCGACGACGACCACGATGGCGACGGCGACGAGAACGACATTCAGCACGACGAGTACGACGATGAAGACGAAGGCGATGACGACGACGACGGCGGCGACGACGACGGTGACGACGGCGACGACGGCGACGACGGCGACGGCGACGACGACGTCGACGACGACGACGACGGCGACGACGACGGAGACGACGACGATGACGACGGCGACGACGACGACGACGACGGCGACGGCGACGACGTCGACGGCGACGACGGAGACAGCGTCGACGACGATTGCGACGTCGACGGTGACGACGACCGATGACGAGCACGACAACGACGGGAACGACGACGACGGCGACGGCGACGTCGACGACGGCTTCGACGACGATGACGACGACAAGCACGAGGACGACGACGGCGACGACGACGGAAAGCGCGAGAGGCACGCGATGCAAGATGAAGACATTTTTTATTTCATATTCGGGCCTGTTCAGTTTCGGACACTCTGGGTCGACGACAGAGAACTTCAAGGGACCTTGTCGTCGTCGTCGTCGTCTTCGTCCTGGTCATGGTCGCCGCGTCGCCGCCGCTGGCGCTGCCGGCTGCCGCCGCCGCCGGCGCGGCGCTAGTGCGCCAGCGCCGGCGCCTGGGGGGAGGGTTCGACCCCCCCCTCCTCGCGCCGCGCCAGGGGTGGGGGGGTTCGGGGAGGAGGGGGGAGGGGAGTCTTCCTGGTTCTGTTCGACGGCGCCGACTGTTCGGTGGGGGGCACCCCCCCACGGTTCAAACGCGCCGCCGAATGTTCCCAAGGCAAGCGCCCGTGAAACGCGCCTCCTCATTGCTCGACACCTTTCTAGTAGAGGGCCGTTGGCCCACAAACTGAAAGAGAACCCTGGACCGCAGCCTTTACCCGGAAGGCCTCTATACTCCAACCTAAACCCTCGGCCTTCGCATCGGGAAGGCATGCGGGCGTCGTTGAGATGCGCGCAGGGCTACCGACGGCGATGGCGGCGACGACTGCCAGCGAGCGATCCTCGGACCCCGATTCCCTCGATCCTCGAACCTCGACAACCTCGATCCTCGACTCTCAACGCCATCGATCCTCGATCCTCAGCCCTCGATCCTCGATCTCGACCCTGTCCTCGAGATGCCGAGAAACTTTTGAAAACCTGGATCCTTGAACCCCGATGCCTTCGAACTTCTGAAACCTCGACGCCCTCGATCCATGGCCCTGGACCCCCGAAGGCTTCGACGCCCTCGACGGCCCTCGAATGCCTCGGCGCTCCTTCAGCGGCGACAACAGGGGGGCACCCATTGATCGCAGATAGGGCCCCGATGGCCCACACCGCACAGGCACGTGCGGATTCGCCATCGGGTGCCTATTGCCGGTCCATCGTCGATTCATGTTCGATTTCAGCTCGATGTTCCCCCCTGAGCGGGTCCCCCCCCTTCTCGTTGCCCCTCGCTCGAAGGCCTCGACCCACCCCCTGGACGCCCCCACAAGCCTCGAGAGACCAACCCGCTGCGCGTCGGCAATTCCGATTTATCATGTGATGCGAATCTAAGGAGGAGGAAGAGGAGGAGGAGGAGGAGTTGGAGGAGAAGGAGGAGGAAGAGGAGGAGGAGGAGGAGGTAATGCTGGTGATGATAATGACGATGCTGATGCTGATGCTGATGCTGATGCTGATGCTGCTGCTGACGATGATGATGATGGTGATTATGATGATGAGGAGGAGGATGTGGAAGATGAGGAGGGGATGATGATGCTGATGATGCTGGTGATGTTGATGATGATGATGATGATGATGATGATGAGGATGAGGATGAGGATAAGGATGAGGGTGATGGTGATGGTGATGGTGATGAAGATGATGATGATGCTGATGATGATGCTGATGATGATGCTGATGATGATGAGGGAGGAGGAGGAGGACGAAGGAGGAGGCGGAGGAGGAGGAGGAGGAGGACGAGGACGAAGAGTGGGGGGAAGCACGGGGAGGAGGTGGGGAAGGGGGATGATGATGACTGCGAGGACGGGGAGGGGATGATGATGATGATGATGATGATGATGATGATGATGATGACGCTGGTGATGATGATGATGATGATGATGATGATGATGATGATGATGATGATAATGATGATGCAGATGATGATGATGATGATGATGATGATGATGATGATGATGGTGATGATGCTGATGCCGTTGACGATGATGCTGATGATGATGCTGATTATCATGGTGCTGATGATGCTTCTGATCTGATGTTGATGCTGCTGCTGATGATGTTGATGATGTGGAACGGGGAAATGAGGCTGATCATTGTGAGTGGTGATGATGACACTCCTGATGATGATGCTGCTGCGGCTGCTGCTGATGATGATGATGACGATGACGATGATGCTGACGATGACGATGATGATGATGATGATGATGATGATGATGATGATGATGATGATGGTGATGATGATGATGATGATGCTGATGGTGATTATGATGATGATGAGGATGAGGAGGAGGAGGAGGAGGTTGAGGAAGATGAGGAGGGGATGGTGATGCTGATGATGATGCTGGTGATGCTGGTGATGCTGCTGATGATGATGATGATGAGGATGAGGATGAGGATGAGGATGAGGATGAGGGTGATGGTGATGGTGTTTGTGATGAAGATGATTGTGCTGATGACGATAATGATGATGATGATGATGATGATGATGATGATGATGATGATGATGATGATGACGACGACGACGACGATGATGATGATGATGATGATGATGGATGATGTGATGATGATGATGATGATGATGATGATGATGATGATGATGATGATGATGATGATGATGATGATGATGATGATGATGATGCTGATGATGATGATGATGATGATGATGATGATGATGATGATGATGATGATGATGATGATGATGATGATGATGATGATGATGATGAGGATGATGAGGATGATGAAGGAGGATGAAGGAGGAGGCGGAGGAGGAGGAGGAGGAGGAGGAGGAGGAGGAGGAGGAGGACGAGGAGTGGGGGGAAGCACGGGGAGGAGGTGGGGAAGGGGGATGATGATGACAGCTAGGAGGGGGAGGGGATGATAATGATCCCCCCTCCTGCGGACGACGCGCTCCTCGCACAACCGCCGTAAGCCGCCCAAGGCCCGCCACCCCTCCGGGCGCGGCTGCCCTGGCCAGCGCACGTCACGAGCGGGAGCGGACCTCACCGCTCTGGACCCGCGCGGGAGCAGCCCTCACCGCGCCGGCCTCGCCTCCCGCTCAGCGTCGTGAGCGGCTGCGCTGGCGCCCGCGCAGCGCCTCGGGCTCCCCGAGCCAGCCCGTCTGCGTCGGGTGCAGCCCGCGCCGCATGCGGCGGAGGGCGTCCGCCTGCCTGTCGGACGTCGCGCGGCGCAGGCACGGCTCCGCCAGGCCCATGACCCTCGCCGACGCCGCGCTGCAGCCGCACACGTTGCAGAACACGCGCGGCCCCGCCACGTAGAGCACGCGCGTGTCGTGGATGGCCGCATTCCACCACGGCGGCCTCGGCGGGGGAGGCACGGCCGCCGCCTGGCCGCCGCCTCCAGCAGCCGCGCCAGCGGCAGGCGCAGCAGCCTGCGCGGCGCCACGCCCGCGTCCGCGGCCGCGGCCGCGGCCCCCGCGGGCCCGAGCGAGGGCGGCGGCGGCGGGCGCAGGACCAGGCTCGGCGGCCCCCGCGGCCGCACCACCAGCGCGCCCACCGGCCCCTGGGGCGCCCCCGGCGGCAGCCCGCCCGGCGGCCGCCTGGTCCCCGACGTCTGCCGCGTCGCTCCCGCCCGCGCGGCGTGTGGCCGAGTCGGGCCTGGACTCGGCCAATTCCCGCGCGGGCGGCGGCGCCCGTCCTCGGGCTGGGGTGCCGGCGGCCGCGCCGTGCGCCACCCGCGGGGCCGCGCCTGCAGAACCGGCCGAAGGCGGGGCGGCCGCGGCGCTCTCCCCGCCTTGCGTCAGCCGCGGGGTCTCGCCAGCAGCGGGCGCCGCCCCGTCGCCGACGGAGGCGCCCTGGGATGCGCCGGGCGCTGGGCCCTCAGCGGCGGCCTCGTCGACCTCGTCGCCGCCGCCCGCCTGGCCAGCGGCCTGGGTCGCCAGCGCCGCCCCGACGGTCGCCACCGCGATGGCCGCCGCCGCCGCGCTGCCCGCCTGGCCGCCGCCGCCGCTGACAGCCGCCCGGCCGCCCTGGATCGCCACCCCGTCGTCGGCGCACTCCCAGCAGCTCCAGCGCACGCCTCCAGCCATCTCCAAGGCCGTGCCGTGGCGGTCGCACGCTCGCCCCGCGCACCGCTGGCCCTGTACGCCGCAATCAGCTTTGGGCCTCTGGCGGCACCCAGGCCAAGCGCATCGGACGGCCTCCAGACCTGGAGCTGCGTAGCCGTCGGGCGCCCTGAGGAGCGAGTCGCCCTCCTGCATGGCCGTGCCAATCCACGAGGTCAGCTCCAGGGCCAGGTCGTCCGCCAGGTCAATGAGGTCGAGCCGCTCTTGCGGGACCGCGTGGAGGCTGGCGCCCTCCTTCGCTCGACCGTCGGCCCTGGCGTTCCCCGCGCGCTGCCGGTCGGAGATGCGCCCCTCGCGGACGTCGTACTCCGTGCAGTGCGCCTTGACCTTCACAACGCCGATGTTGTCGCTGCCGTGGTCCTCGACGAGCCGCCAGAACTGGCGCCACAGCTCGCGATACGCCCTCCTCCATGCAGTGCACCACCGCTTCCCCGCAATCCATCCGTCGTAGACCAGGGACGAATCCGTGTAAATGATGATCGGGCCGATGCAATGATGAAGGGCCATGACCGCAGCCTGCAGCTCGCCCGCGCCACTGTCCTGCGGGAGCGGCCACGGCACGTTCCCCCACATGGCAGTGCGCTCGGTGTTATTGGCCCACGTCGTCACCGCGGCCCAGCCCGCTCGAGCCAGCTGGCGGTCGCGGGTGCGCACTGCCGAACCATCCAGGAACACCTCTCGCACCATGACGTCGCCTGGGTGGCTGCCCGCGCGCCTAACGACGATGGTCAGGAAGGGTTGCGGCGCCTCCGACCTCGGATCGGCCAGGAGCCCCCGCGACCATGTGAAATGCTCCTCGCCGTCGCTGGGGGTTGCCGCCTCCGCCTCCTGCAGCACCGCGAAGCTGGGCGACTCCCCGCGCTGGAGGCGGCGCGGTCCATCCAGTACAGGGCAGCGCCACGCCAAATGCCGCACGGTGCCCGCCTCCTCGCAGCCCCATGGGCAGCGAGCCGAGGACGCGAGCGGCGGGCTCGCCCTCGCGCGCCGCGCAACCGGCCACAAGCAGCCTACCATGGCGTTGCGGGCCGAAGAGCTGCACGCTGCTACTCGCGCCGAGGCCTTCTTCGCCAGGAACTTGCACCGCGCGCTCGCGATGGCGCCACCCCGGCGGACCGCCTCCAGCTCCGAGTGGTGGTCTGCCACTTCGCGCCACAGCGCCCTGACCAGCCCCGACTCGACGAGGCCCTTGATGGTATGGTGCCCGACCTCCATGAGGTCCACCGTGCGTTCGAGGTCGTCTCGGACCAGCTTGACGGACGTCATATGCCATCCCAGCCTGCGGCATGCCAGCAACGCAGCGCCCGCTGGCCCTGACGCTGCGAGACCGGCTGGCCCCTTGTCCTGTTCGACCTCCTTCGCCCCCATGAACGCGCTCATGATGGCTCTTCGGTCCTGCAGGCGAGTGGCCAGTTGCAAGCCCTTGGCCCACGCATCCAGGGGCTTGAAGACGTGCTGGAACAGCGGGTCATCGCGCACCGAGGTCGAGACCAGGAAGCTGAGGGCGACGCTGCGCCCGGGCGCGCGCCCGAAAAGCATCGCGGCCACCTGGCACCTCCACCGCTGCAGCCTTCTGTCCGACCAGGCCATGGCCCCGCGCCCGAACTCGGTGGCCGGCAGCGAGCCGGCCGTCACAAGCCTGCGCGCGCTGGGGATGTGCGCGCCCCAGGCCTGGGCGATGCTAGCGGACTGCTCCGCCGCCTTGACGTGGCGCCTGGTAGCCGCCGCCGCAGCGCCTGCCACCGCGCCGTAGTCCACGCCCAGGTTTCGCGCCTCCTCGGCCTGCTGGAGTTCCCCCTGGTTTATGATCCTCACCAGGGCGTCCCTCAGTTCGCTCGATGAGGCCAGCACCTGCGACTTGGAGCGGGAGACGACGCAGCCCATGTCCGCCTCCAGCCCCTGGATGAAGTCGCGGGCCGCGCCGCCAAGGAAGTGGGCAACTTCCCAGAACTACCCTGCCATGCGCAGCGAGCAGTCGTCGAACATGATGGCCACGTCCACCTCCTTCCAGCAGCGCCGATGCTCCGCATCCAACACCATCATCGCACAGCGGAGGATCCTGCCCGCGTGGCTGCAGCCCGCGACAAGTCCACTGGCCAGCTCGTAGCACGCCGAGCTGACGACCCCGTCGATCATGATGTGCCTGGGGCCCGCGTAAACGCACAGGGCTGCCTGCGCCAGCTGCTCGGGGTAGCCCATGTCCAGCGCGCGGCCCTGGGCCATGGCCAACGAGACCACCTCGTAGGCCTTCCACAAATCCAGCAGCACGCATCCGATCTCCAGCTGCTGCGCGCGGCTGGCTTCGTTGTGCAGGGCCTGCCACCAGACGGCCTCCGCCGCAGCTCTGCCCTGGCTCCCCCAGAAATTGGCCGCTGCCTCGTCGGCGATCCCTGCCTCCCAGGCCCGGGCCTCCGGGAGACGGGCCCTGGCCCACAGCGCGGCAGCCGCTGCAGCAAGCCGATGGGCCGCCAGCCCCCGCTCTCCTTGGCCAGCATGACCAGCAAGGCTCCGACGGCCGCGTCAGGCAGCGAGCGTGCCGATCGCCTCCGCTGCCATGCAGAAGGAGATGAGGACGTCCAGCAAGCCGTCGGAGACGTACTCCAACTGCCGCGGGTTGAACTGGTCGGCGCCCAGGCCTACGCTCCGGCTAAAGGCCTTGGCGGCCGCGCGCCCCTCCTCCACCGAGGGCCTGCGGAGGGGGGGGCCCGTTGGGGGCCGCGCCCGCGCGATCCCGGGTGCCCGCCGCCACTGCTTGGGCTGCGGCGCTCCGGCACCCCCGGCGGCTGGCCCGGCGGCCCCCCGGGCGGCGTCCGGGCCGGCGGTCCCCTCGGAGGCGGCGGCGGCGGCGGCGGCAGGCGCGGGGCCGGGCTGGGCGGCCGCGCCGCTCCCGCCCGCGCGGCGCGTGGCCGAGTCGGGCCTGGGCTCGGCCAATTCCCGCGCTGGCGGGGGCGCTCGTCCTCGGGCGCCCGCGACCTCCGTCCACTCCAGCAGGTTGCACTCCGCGGCGGGGAGGCTGCTGACCGTGCCGCAGGGGCCCTGGGGCGGGCCCCCGGCGCCGCCGCCGCCCGCGCGGTTGCGTCCCGAGGCTTCAGGCATCTCGGGACACAAATCCTCGGGAGGGGCGTGCGGGGCCTCCGGGCCGTCGGGGGGCCGCTGCTGCGATCCCGACTGCGCCCTGAGGTCGCTGCCGCCCCGACGCCCCGCCGGCTGGTGCGTCCAGACGTCGCTCGCCCAGTGCTCTGCGACCAGGTCGACCCGCTCCTGTCCACCCCCAGGTCCGCGGTGGGCGGCGTTGATCTCGTCTGGCACCCAGCCGCGCGGGCCACGCCTGTACGAGTGCAGCTGCTTCCCGCCAGCAGCCAGCGACGTGCGAATCCACTCGCAGAACTCCTTGCGCCGCTGGTACGAGAAGGCAGAAGTGAGGTTGTCTGCCGCCTTGCGCGCCTCCGCCTCCCACTCTCGGACGATCTCCGGGTGCGTGCCCGGCGCCAGCCCGACGCGCGCGCCCCACTGCTCGGATACTGCCTTGAGCGCCATCGTCGGCCGGCGGGCCGTGGCGCCCCTGCGCACCAGCGCGAGGTAGTCCGCCGCCGCCAGCAGGTAGCGGGCCTCCGCGCATGCCTTGGGCCGCGGGGTGGAGCAGGGCCCCGCTCCCTTTCCATCCAGGTGGGGCGCCTTCCAGCGGAACTGAGGCACGCCGCCTCTGCCCTGATAGCGGCCCGCCTTCTCGGGCTCCAGCTGGTGGACGATCACGAGCTCCGCCTCGAGCGACTCCATCAACTGCTGGAAGGCCCCGTTGAGCGCCTCCAAGGAATCGGCCTCCTGGCACGCCCGCACCACGGCCTGCGGCACAGGGGGGGGCGGCATGAGCGGGCCAGCCGCGCGCTGGGCCGGGAAGGCAAGCGGGGCCACCAAGCGCCGCTCCAGTGGCAGGCCGCCATGCGCGCGCAGCTGCAGCCTCACCGCAGAGTGTGGCCTGAAGGGCCCAGGCAGCACCGCGCAGCCCTGCAGGCGGTGTAGGAGGTCGTTGGACACCACGAAGAAATCCAAGTGTGAGGCCTGCTCCAGGCTGTACTGGCACGTTCCCTGGTCCGCGTCGTTGGAGACGACCGTGCCGCGGATGGCCTCCAGCCACGCCGAGGCCTTCTCGCACAGCACCTTCGGGCCGACGTTCCAATCGCCTGCGATGATGAAAGGACGGCGGGCCCCCCGCGCCACCTCGTCCAGGTGCGTGAGGACCTCCCATGAGCGCTCGCCCAGGGCGTCGTTGGCCAGGTAGACGCTGGCTATCAGCACGCCGCCTCTCTGCAACCCGCTGACCAGTGCCGCCGTGCACCTGCCGTCGGCATCCACGTGCCGCGAGCCCGCCGCTGCCGGCTCCGTCATGCCGCGGAAGCTGCGGACGAGCACGCCCGTGCCCCCCGAGGCGCCCTTCTTCTGCTCCACGTCGTTGGAGCCCGGGCGGGCCACGCCCGCCGTCAGCGCCACAGCCAGGCCATGCTGCCGGCACCACTGCTCCTCTGCGGCAAGACGCTTCGGGAAGAGCTGCGTCTCCTGGACGCACCAGCAGCTCGCGGCGTGGCTGCTCTTGGTGGGCTCCGTGGTCCACAGCGCCGTCAAGGGCCCCCATCCCGACCCATTGGCGCTGACCACCACGAAGTCCGAGGGCCGCTTCGGCCGCTGCCTCCTACCCGCCTTTTTTGCCATTTCCTGCACCACGGGCAGCAGCAGGGGCTGCTGGGGCGGCGGCGCCTCCAGCCCCCACACGCCTGCGCTTGAAGCCAGCAGCTTCCAGCTCGTCACGCCGCTGCTTCCTCGCTGCTCGCAACTCTGCGGGGTCAGGGATGGCCCCAGCGCCGAGGCCGAACAGCCCCCAATGCTCATCAACATCCAAATCCAGATCCATGTCATCCCCCGCGGGCTGGGCAGCGGCCTCGCGCTGAGCCTTGGCCTCGCGCTCCTGGGCAGCTGCAGCCTCTGCTGCGGCAGCGGCGGCCTTGGCTGCCTCCTCAGCGCGGGCCGCCAGGCGGGCAGTGACGAGGTTGAGGATCTGGTCGTCATCCCCGAGGTCCTTGACGAACTCGAGCACTTGGCGCTCGAGGTTGCCCGGCGAAGGCGGCGCAGGGGCCGGCGGCTCCGCCTCGCGCGCAACGAGCTTGGCCATGGTCTCCGCGAGCTCCTTGACCGAAGCTTCCTGCCGCTCCAGGACGACGATCTCGGCGTCCAGCTTCGCCTGGGTGGCCGCCAGCTCCTCCCTGAGCGCCTCCAGCCGCTTCTTGGTCTTCGCGACCTTCTGCTCTCCCTCCGCCTTGCGGTGCAGCACGTTCTGCAGCTTGGGCGCCTCCTTGGGGGCGGCCAGCTTTGCTTTACTCTCGGCCACCTGGCGGTGCCGCCAGGCGAGTGAGGCAAATTTGGCCCCCCACTCCTCGACTGGCTTGTCCCCGAGGTCGTACTGCGCGACCTGCGCCTCGACGCCAGCAGCCTCGATCTCCAGCACATCCTGGTCGAGCAGGAGGGGCAGCGAACCGTCCGCGTCCTGCACCGCCGACGCCTCAGACCCTGCCTTGCCCCGGATGTGCTCGGCGAGGGTGGCGCCACCCCGATGCCAGGCCGAGGGCTTGTCCACCCACGGTCCCCAGTGGGCTGGCCTCCTGCTGCCCTCGCCCCCGTAGGACACGACCAGGCTTGGTTTCTGCTTCTTCCTGGCCACCCCGCAGCGGCGGCACGCGGTCCGGCTGGCCCAGTTCGAACACGATGTGCCCGTCTTGGCGCAAGCCCCGCATGTCCACTCCGGGTGGCGGCCATCTCTCGTTGCCATGTAAGGCCCGCACAGACGACAGCTGCTCCTAAGCCTGCCTGTGCAAGACCCGAGTCTTCACTGAATCACCTGAATCCCAGCTCGGGCCAGGAACAGCTGGGGAGGGGATGATGATGATGATGATGATGATGATGATGATGATGCTGGTGATGATGATGATGATGATGATGATGATGGTGGTGATGATGATGATGATGATGCTGGTGATGCTGCTGATGATGATGATGCTGATGCCGCAGATGAGGCTGATGATGATGTTGATGATGCTTCTGACATGATGATGATGCTGCTGCTGATGATGTTGATGATGTGGAACGGGGAAATGAGGCTGATCATTGTGAGTGGTGATGATGATACTTCTGATGATGATGCTGCTGATGATGATTATGTTGCTGCGGCTGCTGATGATGATGGTGACGATGACAATTACGATGATGATGATGATGATGATGATGATGATGCTGATGATGATGATGATGATGATGATGATGACGATGATGATGATGATGCTGCTGATGCTGATGCTGATGCTGATGCTGATGCTGATGCTGATGTTGCTGATGCTGATGTTGCTGATGACGATGATGATGACGATGATGATAATGATGATGATGATGATGATGATGATGATGATGATGATGCTGATGCTGATGCTGATGCTGATGCTGATGCTGATGATGATGATGATGATGATGCTGATGATTGATGATGATGATGATTGATGATGAGGATGATGATGATGATGATGATGGTGGTGGTGGTGGTGGTGGTGATGATGATGATGATGATGATGATGATGTGATGATGATTATGATGATGATGATGAGATGATGATGATGATGATGGTGATGATGTGATGATGATGATGATGATGATGATGATGATGATGATGATGATGATGATGCTGATGATGATGCTGATGATGATGCTGATGATGATGATGATGATGATGATTGATGATGAGATGATGATGATGATGATGATGATGATGATGAAGATGATGATGATGATGATGATGAGGATGATGATGATGATGATGATTGATGATGAGATGATGATGATGATGACGACGATGATGATGATGATGTGATGATGATGATGATGATGATGATGATGGATGATGATGATGATGATGATGATGATGATGATGATGATGATGATGATGATGATGATGATGATGATGATGGTGGTGGTGGTGTGTGGTGGTGGTGGTGGTGGTGGTGGTGGTGGTGATGATGAGGATGAAGTGGAGCAGGAGGAAGTGCAGGAGGAGGAGGCTGCGGAGGAGGATGCGGAGGAGGAGGAGGAGGAGGATGCGGAGGAGGAGGAGGAGGAGGAGGAGGAGGAGGAGGAGGAGGAGGAGGAGGGAGGAAGAGGAGGAGGAGTGGCCAGACTCATGGACCTTCACAAAGCCGGCCTAGACGTTCAGACGTCTTTGGTACTTCTACGAACCCTCACTGCAGGAGACATGACTTGGCACATGCGCACCACCGGGGTTCCCGCCCAAACGGAGACACAGCTCGACGCCGACCTACTCAGCACACTGGAGGAGCTAGTGCAAACGCACGACCTCACAGCGGAGCAGAAAGAGAAATACTGGCACCCTGTCGCTTTGGGCGGCTTGGGATTCCAGAGCGTGAGCGCAGCGCGCCTGGATGCCCAGGCGGCCTCGTGGGCGCTCTGCGAGAAGCCAGTGCTCCAGCGACTGGGCCTCCGCGACAGAGATGACCTTCTCCACTACTGCCTGGGCTTGAGACCGGCGCTCCACCGCCTCCAGAGCACTGTCAACGCGCTGACTCAGGAAGAGGCAGCGCAGCAGGCGCCCGACACGGAGCCGCCCGACACCACCCAGCGGCGCTTTACCAGGCACAGGCGGCACGCATAGTGGACGCAGTGGCTGCGACGCACCCAGACGGAACCGCATCAACGGGCCTGGGCTCTTAGCGCGACAGGCAAGGGGGCAGGCGCGTGGCTCGGGCCGCCCACGCGGCCCGACCACCACCACGCTGACGCCCACTTCAGGATGGCCGTGAGACACAGACTCGGAGGTCTCGTACGCGCAGCTGACGGCCCCTGCCCCTTCAGAAAGGAGGACGGAACCCTCTGTGCCGGCACCGTCGACACTAACGGACGCCACGCGCTTTGCTGCTCCTATGGCGGCTTCATGGTTAAGAGGCACAACAACTTGCGCGACACCATCGCGCAAGCCCTACGTGAAGCCGGCATTTGCGACATCGCAGTCGAGCCGTGGATTCGCCCGCCCACCGGGCCGGGCAATCCGGGTCTCCGCGCGGACCTCAGGTGCACCGACAGTGACGGCCAGTGGGCTTATCTGGACTTAGCGATCGTGCATCCCGCCTCGCAGCAGAGCCTGCAGGCCGGCGGGGCCCACACCCAAGGCACCGCTGCGAGACTGGCCGAACAGGCCAAGCGCCGCAAATACAACGGAGTCGCTGGGGCTTCGAAGTGTCGGGAGCCATGGGCGAGTCCACCCGGAAATGGCTCGCGCAGCAAGTGCCTGAGGGCCCTGGGCGACTGGAGACTCTCAGCACTCTCCACCGGTCCATCGCCACCTGCGTGGTCCCGGAGGTGGCGCGCACGCTCATCAGCGCTGCCTGAGATGGTCGTCGGGCCAGCCAGCGCGCCTAACGCAGGGGTCTGGTGGCTCACACCCCTGGGCCTGGAACCGGCGGCCTAGTACGACGACGGCACCAGCGCGAGAACAGCGCTGCTGCGCGAGGACGCACGAGGACAGCACTAGGACAGCACGAGGACAGCACAGGCGCGAGGACAGCACGAGGACAGCACGAGGACAGCACGAGGACAACACTAGCACGAGGAGGGAAGGGGCGCCGAGGAGGCGCGCCGAGGAGGAGAGGCGAGGCTGAGGAGGAGGAACGCCGAGGAGGAGCGCCGAGGAGGAGCGGCGGAAGCGGGTGGCGGAGCAGCAGCGGCGCTAGGCGGCCGCGGGCGCCCGGCCCGCCGCGGCGGCGGGCGCGGGCGCGGGCGCGCGCGGCGCGGCCCGCGGTGCGTCGCCCGCTCGCGGTCCGCCGCCCCGGGGCCCTCCTCGGACCCGAGGGCCCTGGGGCACCGAGGAGGAGGAGGAGGAGGAGGAGGAGGAGGAGGGGAGGAGGAGGAGGAGGAGCAGGAGGAGGAGGAGGAGGAGGAGGAGGAGGAGGAGGATGCGGAGGAGGAGGAGGAGGAGGAGGAGGAGGAGGAGGAGGAGGAGGGAGGAGGAGGAGGAGGAGGAGGGAGGATGCGGAGGAGGAGGAGGAGGAGGAGGAGGAGGAGGAGGAGGAGGAGGAGGAGGAGGAGGAGGAGGAGGGGGGAGGGGGAGGAGGAGGAGGAGGAGGAGGGAGGAGGAGGAGGAGGAGGATGAGGAGGAGGAGGAGGAGGAGGAAAAAGAAGAAGAAGAAGAAGAGGAGGAGGAGGATGAGGAGGAGGTGGTGGTGGAGGAGGAGAAGGAGGAGGAGAGGGGGAAGGGAACGTCGCATCACGTGACGAAACCACTCTGCCCGGCGCGGGCACCCCAAGGCGCATCGACAATCAGCTGCGCGGGCGCGCCGGGCGCCAGGCGAGGCCCCGCCGCCGCGCCGCCCGCGGCGGCCACGCCAAGTCGTCGTCGTCGTCGTCGTCGTCGTCGTCATCGGCGGTTGCGGTGTCGTCGCCGTCGTTGTCGTCGTCGCCGTCGTCGTCGTCGTCGTCGTCGTCGTCGTCGTCGTCGTCGTCGTGCTCTTCGTCGTCGTCGCCGTCGGTCGTCGTCGTCGTCGTCGTCGTCGTCGTCGTGGTCGTGGTCGTCGTCGTCGTCGTCGTCACCGTCGTCGTGCTCGTCGTCGTCGTCGGCGTCGGCGTCGTCGTAGTGGTCGTCGTCGCCAGAGGAGGAGCTGGAAACTCACTTGTTTTTGAAAGCGTCGGGTGGCGGTCGGCCAGAACGAAAACAAACCAGAAGCCTCCAAGCATGAGCAAACGATTCGTGCGCGAGCCAATGACGGACAGAGAGCAGAGTGCCCAAGCGGGGAGGAATGCTTCGTCGAATCGGTTCAGACATGATCGGTGGTTGTGGGATAGCTGAAAGAATATTGAGAACGCATCGAAAACGGATCAACAATAACGGCCTTCTATTGTCCATTCGGACACAATTGTTTTGAAAGGGTGGCTCCTGAGGTGTCTGCGAACCACAGTGACTACACCACCCGATCTCTTTACTTTTCCTCTGGTCCCAATCAGTCGCTGTCCAACCGTCTTTGTCCATTCTATTGATGATGGCACCTGAATCGTCGAAATGGGTTCCTGCAAATCCCACCACGGGTTCCACTCTCCCACGAGTTGGTATCATGGAAATCTAATGATATCTGTCTGTCTGGTGATGCCTGACTCTGCCCTCCTCCCCGCAGGCGGCTAGCCTTCGGGGCAGTCGGGCTTTCGTGTGTGTTCGGCACGTCGGCCGCCCGCGTCAGGAAGACGCCGCATCTCACTGAGCTGACCTCCGAGCCAACTCTTTCTCGGATGCTTCCTTAGCCGATGCGATACGGCCCACACGATCGATGTGCCAGGTGCGGGTGGGAACTCTTCATGCTAGGCACTGTCGGCCTCACCTTCTCCGTCCACTGGGATGACACCTCCATCAGCACTCTTGCTTTCCGTTTGTGGTGCCCCCCCCGTGCTTTGGCCGTTTTTCGGCTGCCCCTGCGAAGAGAGTCTTGGCCCGTTCCTGGAGCCCAGCCAGGGGCTGATTGCATCGTTCCTCTGCCTACCTGCTCGAAATTTTGTTTTTCCAGATCTCCTCCGCCCCCCAACGCCAAAATCGATGACGAATCCATCCAATTTCCCATCAATGAGGGCGGCGAGGAAATAGATGGGTTGGGCGGAGGCCACGGACCCGGGATTGGTGGCGGAGGAGGCGACCGAGAGCGCAATCTTGTCGCAGCTGTCCTGGAGCTCGACCATTTTCTGCTTGACCGATTCGACATAGCTCCAATGCTGCTCATGATCGCTCTGCCCCTTGTGTCATTTATCCACTGCTTTGTGCAGCCTGCCCTGTTGATCAGCAAGGGGCCTTCTTGCTGCAGCCAACTGGCTATTCAACGGCGGCGGTGAGGTTGTCTTGCTGAGCTGCCAGATACGAAACGACACGCCTGCACAAGCTCGTTTTGTCCGCACTTCCCCGCGGTAGTCCCCATTCACCACCCACCAAAACACCCCAACCCAACCCGAAGCCCTTGATTTGCCCTCCATTTCCGGTGGGGGGGGGGTCGGGGAACGTTGAAAAAACACATGGAATCCGTCCCCCCCCCCCCAACCCGAAATTCGGGTCAAATTCGGGTCTTCGGGTTGGGTTGGGGTGGTCTGGTAGGTAGTCAGCCATAGCCCCCGCTCCTCGACGCTGAGGCTGGAGACGTCCCACTGCAGGTTGCTCGCGTGGGGTTCCCTTGGCCCACCGGGACCTTGGCGGAAGCTCACGGCAGCCTCCGTCGGCGTGTCCAGCAGGCTTCCAGTCCCCGCAGTGCTTGCACCAACTGTATGTCGAAGGGCTCTTGGCGCACCCGCACCTGGGGCACTTCCACGTTGGGCCTCTGGGCGGCCTCCTGACCCAAGGTGAGCGGACCCACTTCAACCCTCTGCAGCGTCGCCGCGAGCAGCAGGGAGAGACGCCATGCTACCAGCAGGGCGCGCCCAGAACGGAACATGCTGAAATACAAATGAGCTGCTCACCCGCGGCCGCGAGCGACAGCAGCACCTGGGGCGTGCCAGATGTTGAAAATTGTGAAAGGTACTCGCGGAACAGCGGTATCCATCAGGTTCACTGCGAACCTCAAAACCTTGAGCAAACATGGCTACGGATGATGGCGAAAAGTCTGATGATGATGATGATGATGATGATGATGATGATGATGATACTGATGCTGCTGCTGATGATGATGCAGATGATGACGTTGATGACGTAGATTAGTATGATGTTGATGATAACGATGCTGATGCGGATGTTCATGTTGATGATGACGATGATGATGATGATGATGACGATGATGATGATGATGATGATGATGATGATGATGATGATGATGATGATGATGGCGATGATCATGATGATCATGTACTTCATGGTGAGCATGCTACGATGATGCTGACGGTGCTGATGCTGATGCTGCTGATGTTAATAATGGTGCTGATGCTGATGATGCTGATGCTAATGCTGATGATGTCGATGCTGATTATGATTATGTTGCTGCTCATAATGATGACGTCGATGGTTATGATGCGGATGATGTTGATGATGCTGCCGATGATGATGATGCTGATGATGAGATTTTGCTGCTCATGATGATGATGCTGATGTTGAGCTTGAGGACGAGGATGTGGTCGATTGTGTTGATGATGAGGATGATAATGACGATGATGATGATGATGATGGTGATGATGATGGTGATGATGCTGATGATGCTGATGATGATGATGCTGCTGCTGATGCCGATGATGACGATGATTATGCTGATGATGCTTCTGATGATGATGATACGATGATGATGCTGCTGATAATGATGATGATGTGGAACGGGGAAATGAGCCTGATGATTGTGATCGGTGATGATGATGCTGCTGATGGTGATGCTGCTGATGATGATGATGATGCTGCTGATTATGATTGTGATGATGCTGCTGATGATGATGACGATAATGCTGATTAAGCTAATGATGATGATGATGATGATGATGATGATGATGATGATGATGATGATGATGATGATGATGATGATGATGGTGATGGTGATGGTGATGGTGATGGTGATGGTGATGAGGATGATTACGAGGAGGAGGAGGAGGAGCAGGAGGTGGAGGAGGAAGAGGAGGAGGGGGAACAGGAGTACAACGCGCTCGGCCAGGCGGGCGGGAGGAGAGATGTCTTGTTCTGGGACGGCTGGTCAGCCGCAGCGCCCGAGGGCGATCCTGGCACCACGCGCTTCTTTATCTCGCTGCAGGACGACGTCTTCCGCATATTCGGCGGGGAGAAGATCGAAGGAGCGTCGCCCGCGCCGGCGCCGACCGCAGACTTGTTGGTGCCTCCGAGGCTTCCTGGGGGTCCTCTCCGCCTGACCCCCCGTCCCGAGGCTCGATGGAGGGCCTGGAGGATGGAGACTGCCACGGGGGGGGAGAAGGCCCCTCCGCTCACCGAGCCCGTGCCCCGCCGCCCGGAAAGGAGCATGCCGTTGTTGGGCGCGATTTTTTGTGGAGCGCTGCGCCGATGAGGACGAGCGAGCGAGTAAGAGGGCGGCGAGGATGAGGGCAATGAAGATGATGATGGAGTGGATGGGGATGGGCATGGGGATGGGGGTGGGAATGGGGGGAGAAGATGGAGAGGGCGGAAAGAGGCGAAGGCGGAGGAGGAGGAGGAGATGACGGAGGAGGAGGAGCAGCAGCAGCAGCAGGAGGAGAAAGAGAGAGGCGAAGAAGGAGGAGGAGGAGGGGGAGGAGGAGGAGGAGGAGGAAGAGGAGGGGGACAAGAAGGAGGAGGAGGAGGAGGAGGAGGAGGAGGAGCCGATAAAGTATAAAGAGGATAAGGAGGAGAAGGAGCTGGAGGAGGAAGAGGAGGAGGAAGATAAGTTAGAGTAGGAGGAGAAGTGTAAACCCAAGGCGTATCAACGATGTTGCAGTAAGCCCTTTCTCCAAGTTTCCTTGCCATAGTTCCCTAGAAGAACTTCTCATTGAAGGAAGTGCCCCATTGAAACGCAACCGTCGGGTAGTCCTTAACCGTGCCAAAGCACAACTCCTGGGACCCAGTGCCGCGAATCAATCTGATTGTTGCGCGCTTACGGTCCTGAATCGTGCCAGGATGCCGTTCTTGGGATTTCAACACCGCGAATCAACGTGACTGTTGCGTCCTGACAGTCGTAAATCGTGCTGCAGCACCATTATTGGGATGTCGACCCATGCGAATCCTTTAAACTGCGGCACACTTTGAAGACGAATGCGCACGGCGCTGAGGCGAGAGCCACAGTGTGAACAGAAACCATCCCCCATCTTTGGATATGATGGACACTTTTAAGACGAATGAACGCGGCGCTAAGGCGAGAACCACATTACAAAAACGACCCGCCCTCAATATTTTGAAGCTGCTGTGAACTTCTGAGACAAATGTGCGCGGCGCTAAGGCGAGAACCGCGTTTTGAAATCACCCCCCCTCCACCATTAAAGGTGTTGCGAACTATGCAGACGAATGCGCGCGGCGCTGATGCGCGAGCCACCTTTTGAAAACGACCCGCCCTCCATCTTGAAACTGTTGCAAATGTCAGGCTTCAGGGTCAAAAGTGGTGGATATGTCTCAGGCGAAACGCCCAGCCCGCCCTGCCGACACGTCTGGGGGTGCGACAGGGGGAAGTTGTTCATAAGGAATAGGGGTGCGGGGGGAGGGGGAGGATGAGGAGGAGGAGGAGGAGGGTCGAGGGGAGGTCGGGAGATGGACGAGGGCCGAGGCTTGTGGACGTTTAGTCATGTTCGAGCTTTTTGGGGCCTCCAGAGGCCTCTGAAGACTTCCATCGACCTCTGGGATGGAGGAGGAGTAGAAGAAAAGGAAGAAGAGGAGGATGATGAGGAGGAGGAAGAGCAGGAGGAGGAGGACGGGGAGGTGGACGACCAGAGGATGTGAACCGTGCGCGGCATTTGAAATTACGAAAGCGCGCGGCGCCAGGGCCGGAACCTCATCTTGAGAACGATGTGTGCTCCACGCTTGAAACTTTCGCTAGATTTTGAGACGAACGTGCGCGGCGCCAAAGCGAGAGCCACATTTTGAAAACGCTCCCTCCATCCCTGAAGCTGTCGCTAACTTTGAAGACGAATGTGCGCGGCGCCAAAGGGAGAGCCACACTTTGAAACACCCCCCTCATTCCTGAAGCTGTTGCAAACCTTTAAGACCAAGATCTGCGGCGATCAGGCGAGAGCAACAATCTGATAAGGAACCGCCCTCCTATATCGAGCATCGTGTAAGATGTTAACACGCCGTGGCGCAGAGGCGAGAGCAACATTTTGAAAAGGAGCCGCCCCCCTTCACCAAATACATTACAGGATTGTTGCACGCTGTGACGCCGAGGCGAGAGCTACATGTTGAACGCGACTCGTGCTCCATCTTTGAAGGTTCTGTAAACTTCGGGAAGAACGTGCTTAGCACCAAGGCGAGAGCCACATTTTGAAAGCGACCTTCCTTCCTTCCTCCTTCCTTCCGTCCTTCCTTCGTCCAAGCCGCTGCAAGATTTTTTCACGAATGCATGCGGCGCGCAGGCGAGAGCCCCCTTTTGAACAACACACCTGTGCTCTAGCCTTTATGCGCTTGGACATTTCCAGCGTCAGAATCATAAGTTTCGAGGAATTCTCATGCTAAATGCCCAGCCCCCCCTGCCCACGTGTCCTGGGGTGCGACATGCGACAGAGAGGAGTTATTCGTAAGGAAATGGGCTGGAGGAGGAGGATCAGGAGGAGGCGGAGGAGGAGGAGGAGGGGATAGAGTGGGAGGAGGGAGGAGGAAATATGAGCTTGGTGTGAGTAAGCATGAAGATCCAGATAATGATGACGATGATGAGGAAGTGAGAGAGAGAGAGGAGGAGGAGGATGGTGGAGGAGGATGAGGAGGGGCGACAACTGTTGGGATGATGATGACGACGATGATGACGATCATGATGATGAGGATGATGATGGTGACGGTGTTGGTGGTGATCATGATGATGACGACGATGATGCTGATGATGACGACGATGACGACGGTGATGATGATGATGCTGATGATGATGATTGCGATGCTGATGCTGATGATGATAATGGTGCTGCTGCTGGTGACGGCGATGATGATGCCGATGATGATGATGATGCTGATGCTGATGCTGATGATTATTATGCTGATGTTGATGATGCTGCTGAGGATGACGATGTTGCTGACGCTGCTGATGACGATGATGATGACGATGATGATGACGACGATGATCATGATGCTGCTGCTGCTGATGATGATGATGATGATGATGATGCTGAGGATGATGAGGATGATCAGGATTATGATGATGACGCTGATGCTGATGATGGTGCTGATGCTGCTGATGATGATATGATAATGAAGGTGCTGCTGATGATGCTGCCAGTGCTGATGCTGATGATGATGTTGCTGCTGATGAAAATGCTGACGATTATATATGCTCAGGATTATGATGATGCTGATGCTGCTGATGATGATGCTGATGCTGCTGATGATGATCATGCTTATGTTAGCGATGCTGTTGCTGCTGATGATGATGCTGCTGCTGATGATGATGATGATGAGAACGATGACGATGATGATGCTGATGCTGATGATGATGCTGATGCTGCCTCTACTGATGATGATGATGGTGATTATGATGATGATGATTGCGATGATGATGTTGCTGCTGATGATGATGTTTATGATGCTGAGGACGACGATGATGTTGATGATGATGATGATGATGGTGGTGGTGATGATGATGATGATATTGATGATGATGATGATGATGATGATGATGATGATGATGGTGATGGTGATGGTGATGGTGATGATGATGATGATGATGATGATGATGATGATGATGATGATGATGATGATGATGATGATGATGATGATGATTCTGATTATGATTATGATTATGATGAGGATGAGGATGAGGATTCTGATGAGGATGAAGATGAGGATGAGGATGATAATGATGCTGAGGATGATGATGCCTATGCTGATTACATGAAGGTTCTGGTTCGGTTCGGTTCAGTTAGGTTTCGAAGTGCGTCCGGTTCGGTTCGGTTCGTCGTTGTGAGGGGTGCCGTCCGGTTTGGCCCGGTTCGCCATGCGTTTCGCTCCGGTTCCGCTCGGCTCGCCACGGAGAAGGGGGTTCGCCACGGAGCAGTCCCGGAGGCGATTCACGTCTTTGCAAGTCCCCAACGCCATTTTGCAAGTCCTGGGGGCGATTTTGCAAGTCCCGAAGGCCATTTTGCAAGTCCATGACGCGTTTTTGCAAAATCGGGGCCTCGGGGGGCCGCCTCCAGGGCCGGGGGGCCTCGGGGGACTTGCAGAATCGGGGCCTTGGGGGGCCGAGACTTGCAAAATCAGGGCCCTGGAGACGTCCAGTTCATGGCGGTTCCAGCCAGTTCGGCCCGGTTCGGTTCGAAATCGATTCCAGTTGGGTTCGGTTCGGTTCAAAATTGGGTCTCGTTCGGTTCCGGTTCGGTTCGGTTCCTGAGCCTTTCTGTGATTATGATGATGCTTTTGATGATGATGCTGATGCTGATGCTGATGCTGATGCTGATGCTGATGCTGATGATGATGATGATGATGATGATGATGATGATGATGATGATGATGATGATGATGATGATGATGATGATGATGATGATGATGATGATGATGATGATGATGATGATGATGATGATGATGATGATGCTGCTGATGCTGATGCTGATGCTGATGCTGATGCTGATGACGCTGACGCTGATGATGATGATGATGATGATGATGATGATGATGATGATGATGATGATGATGATGATGATGATGATGATGATGATGATGATGATGATGATGATGATGATGATGATGATGATGATGCTGGTGCTGATGCTGATGCTGATGCTGATGCTGATGCTGATGCTGCTGATGCTGATGCTGATGCTGATGCTGATGCTGATGCTGATGCTGATGCTGATGCTGATGCTGGTGCTGATGATGACGAGGAGGCTTTGGAGGAGGGGGAGGAGGAGGAGGAGGAG